TGTTGAAAAAATAAAAATTTTATTCTTAAAAGCTACAATTCAGTAAAAAGATTTCAATTCTTTCCTTAGCATAAGTCTGACAATATAGAAATAAACACAATTTTATGAGAAAAAAGTTTATTATACTTATAAAGGGATTGTATTTTAACATATACATAGAAAAATAGCATCAAAGGTCTTCAGTAATCTCATCTAACTGATCTTGCCTGTTTTATTTCCAGATACTTTCATTCACTATTAGACAAATAAGAATCTTAGGCATACACTGCTTCTGCCCATAAATTATTTGATTATTCTGAGCCACCACTAATAAAAATGTTTTCCTCACTTTCACCTTATCTAAACTTCTCTATAATTCAAAGTCTAGGCTATAAATCGTTCTTCTGGATAAGGTCTATCTTGAATTCTCTCTCTTTCAAGAAAAAAAAATCTTCCTTCCTCTGAACTCTCCTACACAGCATTTAATATTTAACTCTATGTTATTTACAAACCTTTCTTAACACCTGGGGTACCTTTACATCCCTGTAAGCACCTCGGAACTACAAATACTGTAATGTCTTATATGTGTGTATACCCCACGAGTAACAGAGAGAGACTTTCTTCTATTCGTAGTGGTCAGAGAACATGCTAAATGAACTGACCGGCAAAACCTGAAGTGAAGAGCTAAAAGAAAGAGGGAAAGAATAAAGGGTCTTAGGATCCAGTTCCCATTATTTTACACATAATTGTGATTTTTAAAAATTTATCCGAATATGCACAGAATAAATATTTAATATTAGTTTGTAGAAATAATAGATTAAATTGAAAATGAGATTTAATACATGGTCTTCTAAGTCAGTGATGGTGAAACTTTTAGACCCAGTGCCCAAACTTCAACCCAAACCACTTATTTATCGTAAAGTGCCAACACTGCCATTAAATCTGAACACGGAGGTTTTAGCTTAGAAAAAACAAGCCATACATTACCATCCCCTTTTGTCTTAAAAGAAAAACACAGTAACACCCCTGCCATAGATTCACCATCTCTGTTCTCAGTTCTAAGTTTCTGACAAGAAAATATCGAAGCCATTCAAACAAATTCAGGAATTACAGTTTGGCACTAAGAGTATATTCTGATAGATCAGAGTAGGTGTTCATAGCAATCTGCTGAAAAACAATTATCAGGAGACCAGCCTGTGAGTAAAAGTGATAAGCTTATCAATGCGTAAGTACAATAAAATAAAAATACATTCACCTGAATTCTAAGTAAGAAATTCTGCTTTTGTGTCTGGTGTGCCCCAACATGGTGCCTACAAAGATTGAGCCCTTGTCAATGAACAGTTGTCTGTTGGGTCAAGAGGCTTATTTATATTTACTACAAGCCAGTTTCAGGGAGGAGGGGGGAAGGGAGGGGCAGAAGAGGAGGAGGAAATCAGTACAGGTGTTCCTAATATAAATGGTTTTCAACAATTAGTTAATTTACAACACAAAAACAAAACAGAAGTTACAAATTGATTCTATCCATTAGATATTCTGGAAGAGGCTTGAAACTCTGGAAACAATAAAAGATCAGTGGTTACAGGGAGTAAGGGAAGGGAAGGATGAATAGGCAGAACACAGAGGACTGTGAGAGCAGGTAAAATACTGTTACACGCCATACATTTATCCAAACCCATGGAACACACACCAAGAGGCAACCTGAATGCAGACTATGGCCCAAACAATAGGGACGTGTAAATGAAGGCTCATCAACTGCAGTGAATTTATTACTCCAGAGGGGAAGCTCTCATGGAGGGTTGCCAATGTGCAGGGAGAGGAGACAGAAAATCTTTCAGTTTTGTTATGAACTTAAAACTTCTCATTAAAGTCTTTAAAAAAATCTACCAATTTATTTGCATAATACAGTTTTAAATGTTACTACCTGATACATTCACTGATGAAATAAGTAAATCAATAGATGAATAACAAAATGGAAACTGCAAGACTAGACTATTAATCTTTTTTTAAACAGGTAATACATTAAAAATTCTCTACTTGTTAGACTTCACTAGCAGGAAAAGAGCAAAGATTATATAAAACAACTGATAATCCGAAAAGAAAAACACTCACATGATTTCCTTAAAAATTTTTTTTTTTTTTTTTTTTGGTTTTTCTCCGGTACCGGGAACCGAACTCACGACCTTGCGCTTGGCAGGCAGGCGCTTTGCCGCTGAGCTAAATCCCCAGCCCCAAAATTGTCTTAATACATGCTTGCATTACATGCAGGTCACAATCGTCCTGGGGAGTTGGTATGTGTACACTACAGCTTGCTTCTTGCTTTTAATCCCCTCCCCTCCTTCTCCCTCCCTCTTTCTCTAGTTTCCTTCTTCCCCTTTTCATTCCTGTTGATACTATAAAGCTTAGTCCATGTTTATGGCACAAAATGTCCGCACTCACTGAGGTTATCAGGACCCTGTACATTGCATATCTTCACTCTACCTATTTCCCCATCCCCTCGTGCTCAGCCCTCGCCCTTGCTATCCTGGACCCCCTCCCACCTGCATGAGATCCACCTCTTGTCTCGTT